CGGCAGCTTCGGCAAAATTTAGGTGGCAGCCCAAGACCTCTTCCTCGCCGTGAACTGACAAGAATCCTTTTACCAAACTGCAGAATTTGGTTCACGGTTCAGAATAGGTGTCTTGATATTAATAACTATGTGTCTTTTATTCTCCCTATTAGGATATAAGCTTTTTCCATCAATATCTACACGAGTTTTGTTTTGGCACACTTGAGAGTCCCTAATCCTTGATAGTATGAGATGTGCCTGAGTACTAGCTGATGGAGATACTTCACTGACAAGTAATCTTATTGAAGTCCACTGGGTAACGGCGGTCTCGCATTAAGTGTCTGCAGAAATGAGTTGTCTTCTGCAACTATACTTATGTTTAATTTGTAAAGCCGATTTGGCAAATACGTGTTTTCAGCTATTATTTATTAGGCAAATACAGGTGCAAGGATTAAAATGTTTAGCTACATAAAGTTTGAGAATGGGTCTAGGGGTAGGGGGATGGCATCGCGGTGTCCCCTCGTCTCACACATTCTAGCGCCAGACTGTTGAGGCCATTGGGTCTTATGAGCAGAGAGGAGGGGAGGAGGGTGATTTCACGGCCATAATCCCAGCTTATTTCTGATCGAAACCAACAAAGCAAGGAGCTTGTGTTTCAATGGTAGATTTTTGCATTCAGTGACCAAGGCTCTCGAATTGGAATGCCGGGTAATCGACACGTGGGACTGACTACGTCTGCTTGACGATGACGGATAAGCTAGAAAAGACCAATCTGGTCGAATTGTTTATGTCCTTTCCAATCCCTATTTATATAAATCTTCCTACTATCTAGCCTCTCTGGCTGGTAACAATTTGGTATAGTAGACTTTAGAACAGTCAAGTCGGGGACATTGAATCACCATTATACCCCCAAAATCTAAACGCGACGTAAAAGGATAAAATGCCCTGCTCTCTGAATTAACCATGGTAAAAGTAATTAGTACTGGAATACACCGCAATGCGATCTCCATAGGTATGCTTCTTAAGCAAAACGTCAAAGTTGGAAATTTGAAAAACCCTCTGTCTGGAAGGTATCGGTTTCTCAAATAGCTGGTAATTGCATTCTGAAAGTCAACCTGCAACTGCAGCACTCCTGCTGACAGAATATTCGAACAACAATACCTTCACGAACTCTGCCGAGCCAATGGATACCCGATCTCATTTATCAAACGAAGCAAGCGCCAAGTGAACAGACGACGGCCATCGCAACAACAACTCGATGTCAGGAGGGCTATTCCCAACATAAAAGGAATCTCCGAAGCAGTCTCACGACTGTTACAACCCGCTGGAGTAGGCATAGCCCATCGATATCTGGCAACAGTACGCCGCCGTATGATGCAACCTAAACACAGATTGTCCCTATCGAAACCTCTGCAGTCGTCTACAAGATACGTTGCAACGACGGAGACTGTAATAACGTAGGAAAAACGGGCCGAAAATTTCAGAACCACCTTCACGTACACAAAAGGGCGGCTGGGAGACTAGACCCAAACTCACATCTTACAGCACAAATTGAAGAATATGGCCACGACTTCGACATTCAAGGAGCAGCCATCCTAGGCCGAGGAAACTCACAAGCTGAAAGGCTAACGCTTGAGGGTTGTACTCGGATACCAACTCCGTCAACAGCCATCTTGACCTCCCCGAGGCCGACAAAGTTTTACGCCATTATGTAAGCGAGGGACGGAACAAGGCCAAGCCTAACGTCAGAATTTTAAACGACAAGGACCCCACTACGAACCGGTCAGAAGAAGAGGCAGGATCACCGGGACCCTCTTCCCCTGGGGACAAGGCATGACACTAATTACTGTTCATGACCCCGAACGACCGCCGTCTTCACTGACAGTTAATTAACGTTTACCACTATAAAGGCCCTCCCCCCGACTTCCATCCTCTTTGATTTATGTTTCTTTCCCCTTGACGATCGCTGACAGTTGATTGGCTTTTGGCCACTTTGTATAATTACCCTCATTTTGGTTGCTGCTTCTTATAGTTCAGTATATTTAGGGTAGTAGGCAATGCCTTTGAAGACCCTATT